GGGGGGGGGAAAGGGATAATAGAGTATATTGGACTGTGTGGATTCGATGGCCTGGCACATCAGAACCACTGAAATATAAGGCACTGGTGGACACTGGTGCACAGTGCACTGTGATGCCCTCGAGTCATGAAGGGACAGAATCAATCCATATTTCTGGGGTGACCGGGGGCTCTCAAGAATTGACTGTGTTGGAGGCTGAGATAAGCCTCACTGGTAAGGACTGGCAAAAACATCCTATTGTGACGGGCCCAGGGGCTCCATGTATACTAGGTATTGATTATCTCAGAAGGGGGCATTTCAAGGATCCTAAGGGGTATCGATGGGCCTTTGGAATAGCTGCTGTGGACACAGACAACATTAAGCAGCTGTCTGTTTTGCCTGGCCTGTCAGAAGATCCGTCTGTTGTGGGGCTGCTGCGAGTAAAAGAGCAACAGGTACCGATTGCTACAAAAACGGTGCACAGGCGGCAGTACCGCACCAACAGGGATTCCTTGCTCCCCATTCAGAAGTTGATTCGTCAACTAGAGAGCCAGGGAGTGATCAGCAAAACTCACTCGCCTTTTAACAGCCCCATATGGCCAGTGCGTAAAGCCAGTGGAGAGTGGAGGCTGACGGTGGACTACCGTGGCCTGAATGAAGTCACACCCCCACTGAGTGCTGCTGTGCCGGACATGTTAGAACTCCAGTATGAACTGGAGTCAAAAGCGGCCAAATGGTATGCCACCACTGACATTGCTAATGCCTTCTTTTCCATTCCTTTGGCCAAAGAATGTAAGGCACAGTTTGCTTTCACGTGGAGGGGCGTTCAGTATACCTGGAACCGTTTGCCCCAGGGGTGGAAACACAGCCCAACCATTTGCCATGGGTTGATCCAAACTGTATTGGAACAGGGCAGTGCTCCTGAGCACCTGCAGTACATTGATGATATCATTGTGTGGGGCGATACAGCAGAAGAAGTCTTCACGAAAGGAGAGCGAATAATCCAAATTCTTCTGAGTGCTGGTTTTGCTATTAAGCGAAGCAAAGTGAAAGGACCTGCCCAGGAGATTCAGTTCCTAGGTATAAAGTGGCAAGATGGCCGTCGTCACATCCCGACAGATGTGATCGACAAAATCACTGCTATGTCTCCACCCACTAGCAAAAGAGAGACACAATCTTTTCTGGGTGCAGTGGGCTTTTGGAGAATGCATGTTCCAAACTGCAGCCTCATTGTAAGCCCCCTTTATTATGTGACGCGAATGAGAAATGAGTTTACATGGGGCCCTGAGCAGCAGCAGGCTTTTGAACAGATTAAACAGGAGATAGCCCGTGCCGTGGCCCTAGGGCCAGAACGGACGGGACAGGGTATAAAGAACATCCTCTACACTGCTGCTGGAGAGAACGGTCCCACTTGGAGTTTGTGGCAAAGAGCCTCAGGAGAGACCCAAGGCCGACCCCTGGGATTCTGGAGTTGAGCCTACAGGGGATCGGAAGAGGGCTACACTCCAAGTGAGGAGGAAATCTTAGCCGCTTATGAGGGGGTTATTATGTGCTTACTATGGTGGAGGCAACCACTGGGTGGCTTGAAACATATGCAGTACCCCATGCTACCACCCGAAACACCATACTGGGTCTCGAGAAACAAGTCCTGTGGCGACATGGCACCCCAGAAAGGATTGAGTCAGATAATGGGACTCATTTCAAAAATTCTCTTGTAAATACTTGGGCCAAAGATCATGGCATTGAGTGGATTTACCATATTCCCTATCATGCACCAGCCTCTGGTAAAATTGAACGATACAATGGGTTGTTAAAAACTATGCTAAAAGCACTGGGAGCCCGAACATTTAAGCACTGGGAGAAGCATTTGGCAGAAGCCACCTGGTAAGTCAATACCAGAGGATCTATCAATCGTGATGGTCCTAACCAATCCAGTTCCCTACATACCGTAGAGGGAGATAAAGTCCCTGTTGTACATGTAAAGAACATGCTAGGAAAGGCAGTTTGGATTCTTCCAGCTTCTGGAAAGGGCAAACCTCTCCGTGGTGCAGTTTTGCCCAGGGACCAGGATCCTCTTCGTGGGTAATGCAGAAGAATGGGGATGTCAAATGTGTACCACAAGGAAACTTGATGCTGGGAAAGTGCAGTTAGTAATTCTATGTATATGTATATAGCCATATGTGTGTAATGCATTTTAATCATGTTTTGTTTGTTTGTATATATGTATATACATATATATTAAGCATGATGTAATGATGTAGAATAAGGGGTGGCATGTCATGGTTCTATGTTTTTTTTTTTTTTGGGTTTCAGTATTCCACATCAAAACATCATGTAGTCTACGGGGCATTAAAGTGTCACTGCCCCAATCCCAGGTACCTATCCCTGTACATTACAGAAGTCATGGGATCTGGCCCTTCCGGGTGGGGTGGGCGCTCTCTTGCTGCCTTGGACTGGGTGCTGGAGGGTGCTTTCCTAGCCGTTCCAAGCTTTTCAGGTTTGACTCGGTCCCGGGAACTCTCTCTCATCTTGTCTGATTTACTAATCTCAATTTCAATTAAACTGTATTACATTTTGTTATCTTGTATTCCGATATAGTAAAATAAGTTTTCCTCCATAGATTGCTGCCGCTGTTCTTTTCCTCCCTTCCTTCCTTCCCATTTTTTGTGGGACGGTGTGGGGGGGGGGAGGGCAGAGGCCTGTTGCCCCTGTCACGGACACAGATTGATCTAGTCAACTCCGTGACAGTTATGTATCACAGTGATGCACCAAAAGAAATACTGGTCGCTCCACCAGAGAAGCGTCCCGTTCAGGAGGGGAAATATCCTATCCCTGAAGATGCCTGGTACGCAGATGGGTCCCACAAGGGCAACCCGACCAAGTGGAGAGCAATAGCATACCATCCTTCCACCGAGACAATCTGGTTCGATGAGGCGATGGTCAGAGCAGCCAATGGGCAGAACTGCGGGCTGTGTGGATGGTTATAACCAAGGAACCCGGTGATGGTATCTTGAACATCTGCACAGATAGTTGGTCTGTGTACCGGGGGCTTACTCTTCGGATTGCACAGTGGGCCACCCAGGAATGGACTGTCCACACCCGACCGATCTGGGGCAAAGACATGTGGTTAGATATATGGAATACGGTCCAACACAGGACTGTACGTGTCTACCATGTTTCTGGTCATCAGCCCCTACAGTCACCGGGAAACGATGAAGCCGACACACTGGCCCGAGTTCGATGGATTGAGAATTCACCATCTGAGACCACGGCCTGCTGGTTACATCGGAAGCTGCAGCATGCTGGACAAAAGACAATGTGGGCAGCTGCTAAAGCATGGGGACTGCCCATACAACTATCTGATATCGTCCAGGCATGCCGGGATTGCGACGCTTGCTCCAAGATGAGACCGAGATCGTTGCCCAAAACAACAGCCCATCTTGCTAGGGGACACAGTCCTCTCCAGCGATAGCAGGTCGATTACATCGGGCCTTTTCCTCGCTACGAGGGGGCAAGATACGCCCTGACCTGTGTTGACACTGCAACTGGGCTACTGCAGGCCTATCCAGTACCAAGAGCAAACCAGGCATATACCATCAAGGCACTCACTAAACTGATGTCTGCCTATGGGACACCTCAAGTCATCGAGAGCGACCAAGGGACTCATTTTACTGGTGCAACGATACAGCGCTGGGCAGAAGAAAATAACATTGAATGGCGATTCCACCTGCCATATAATCCAACGGGGGCAGGCCTCATTGAACGTTATAACGGTATTCTTAAGGCTGCCCTGAAGACAGACTCCCAGTCCTTGCAGGGGTGGACGAAAAGACTGTATGAAACCCTGTGGGACCTGAATGTAAGACCTCGAGACGGCAGACCCAGTGCCCAGAGAATGCTGCAGATGACATGGGCCACCCCGCTTAGGATCCAAATTACGGGCACTGATCAGCTAAGACCCCAGATTGGTAATGAAAATACTCTTCTGCTCCCTGCCCCTGAGAATTTAGAGCCGGGTACCCATAAAATAAAATGGCCCTGGAAGGTGCAGGTAGGACCCAAGTGGTGTGGCCTACTTGCACCTTGGGGGAGACTATTGGAGGTGGGAGGCTCAGTAGTCCCTCCAGTAATAGGTCCATGGCCTACTGATATTGTGGTCAACACTCCAGTCTTCATTGCTAAAGGGACCCCCATCATGTCCCTGTGGCAGATCAGGACACCTCCTTTGGTGCCTGATATCATTATGCAGCCGCAGACATCTGGCCAGAAGGTGTGGTACAGGCAGCCAGGACTTGCCCCAGTACAAGTGGACGTGTTGACCCAGGATAGAAATACGGCATGTATCTTGCCCTGGAGAGCAGACCTTCCCCTCCTGCTACCTCTGAAACATCTGTATTACTTTTACAATTCACTTTTGCTGCCGGAAGGGGTGGAGCTTGGCTCCACCTCTCCTAGACCTATTTAAGAGCTGGCTAGCAGTGGGGGATAATCTCTTCTGGTGATCTGTTCTTCTGGTGTTTTGTGGGTTAGCCTATGATAGGGGTAAGCTTGCCATTTATTCTCTTTTGTTATTATGGTCTGTTTTTTCAAACTCTTTTGTTTATTTCATAGTTGTAACATCTTAATGTTCATTAATTATACACTGGTATATTTCCTAATTATAACCTTTGTACATTCATTGATTATACAGAGGTGCTTCTGGACCTTGTTCTTTCCAACAGGGATGGGCTTGTTAGGGGAGTGTAGGGAGTAGCTTGGGGTGTAGCTATTCTCAGATGGTGATTTTAAAGACTGTTACGGAGTTGACCAGATCAATCTATGTCCGAGACAGGGGCGACAGGCCTCTGCCCTCCCCCCCCACCCCAGTCCCACAAAAAATGGGAAGGAAGGAAGGGAGGAAAAGAGCAGCGGCAACAATCTATGGAGGAAAACTTATTTTACTATAATATCGGAATACAAGATAACACAATATAATACAATTTAATTGAAATTGAGATGAATAAATCAGACCAGATGAGAGAGAGAGTTCCTGGGACCGAGTCAAACCTGAAAAGCTTGGAACGGCTAGGAAACCACCCTCCAGCACCCACTGCAAGGCAGCACGAGAGCGCCCCCCCCACCCGGAAGGGCCAGATCCCGTGACTTCGGTAATGTACAGGGATAGGTACTTGGAATTGGGGCAGTGACACTTTAATGCCCCGTACACTACATGATGTTTTGATGTGGAATACTGAAACCCAAAACCAAAAAAAAACATAGAACCATGACTTGAGTGGAAGATGTACTGTAAAAAGTAGGATTGCTATCCTGAACTTCTAGAGAGTCAACTTGCTCATTTTCTGGATCTACTTCATAGTATTTCATGAGGTAGAGTGCTAGAAGTTAAGGGGTTCTGTGAGACCTGAGTAACGTTTAACCAGCACTTTTTCTACATTCAAGATCGGTGCATTTCTAAGAGTAGGAAACATGGGAAGAGAGGCAGGTTTCCTGTGTGGATGAGCAGGGAGTTTGTGGATAAGATCAAAGGGAAGAAGGAGTTCTATGGGATGTAGAAAAAGGGGCTTGTCCTCTCGGAAGGAGTACAGGAGTATTGTCAGGGCCTGCAGGGATGCAATGAGGAAGGCTATAGCCCACCAGGAGTTGAAGCAGGCAAAGGAGAAAAAGGGTATTAAGAAGGGGTTTTTTTTAAGTATGTTAACATCAAAAGGAAGACTAGGGATAATGTGGGTCCCTTGATCAATGAAGAGGGTGCCCTGGTAATGGGGAGTGCTGAAAAAGAGAAAGATGGTGAACACCTTTTTTGCTTTGGTCTTCACTTCAAATACTTCCCTTGGGATTCCAGGACCATGGAGGGAAGAGAAAATGAAATTGAAAGCCTTCCTCGAGATGAGGAGGGGGGGTGGTCCATTGTGGGACAAAGAAAGTCATTACCTTGCTAATGAGTAAACAAGCTCAGTAGCTACTTGAGCCAGATGTAAGCACACACGAGGCACCTACATGTGACCAAGTTGTTGCGTGTGGGTATAGAAGGTTGTAAGCACCTATGATAAAAGTTGTTCTGAGTTTTTGTTCTGCATCAGTAAAGGAGTTCATGTCTATCTTGCCACACCAGCAAGGGAGCTCGCAGCCACAATTGGCACCCGAACAAGGACAGACCGGTTCTGAAGAAGCTCTGTTGAAAAGAGAGCTGAAAGAGAGCTCTATCAAGAAGAGAGTTGAAAGAAACTCTATAGAGAAAAAGGCTGAAAGAAGTCCTATAGAGAGGGCTGGAAGAGGCCATATCCTGCTGAAAGAAGTGCAAGACTGAGACAAGTCTTACCGTCCCCAGCTGCTCCAAGTGCCTTTTGCTGGATGAAGGTAAGCAACTGCATACCATGGGGAACAAAATGACGAAACATTTCTGGGAAAAAAAAAAAAAATGACGAACAGTTCTGAAATGAAAAATGTCCTCGTAAAATTGTGGGGTGCATCCACTAGAGGTGATGGGATGGTGTCCAGGTTCAAAACCTTGAGAAAAAATTTTGAAGCCTTGAAAAGTCATACAGGCTCATCATTGGCTGCCTCTGATTCATCCGAAGATGAAGGAGACACTGGCTTCTCGTTGGGCTCACCGGCTGTGCCATCAGCTCCTTCATTATCATCGCCACGGGGGTCTTCGCTGCCTCCTCTCCCAAAGGTCCTGATGACCCTTTTGATCCTAGCTCAACAGATCTTAAGAAAGAGCCGGATGTTTCTCCCAGATCCACATGGTATGTGGGCACTTACTCGGAGGGAGGCTAGGAAAGCTGGAGACGCAGATATGTTGAGGGCTTTCTCTGTCATTGTGGCCACGGGACAAGAGCCGTGGTGGGAGGCTTTGTCATATATTGTCCTGTGAGACACTGTGTGGGAATTGAAATGCAGGGGGTTGACACAGTCAGGCAACTGAAAACTTGTTGCTGCAGCAAAGAAACTTTCTTTGGCCTGTGTATGTGAATGCCTTGATGAGGGAGGGGGATTTCTCCACCCCAGCTCAACAGGCATATAGATATATGTTAAGCATGTTGTGGTTTTGTGATTTTTGTTGTCAGTATGCCACGTCAGAACATCATCTAAAACAATGGGAGTTAAAGAGTTAATGTTCTGGTTCCATGGACTATCTTTTATGGGCATTTTGGGTCTTTGGATGGGAGGAGAGGAGTGGCATTCCTGGAGGACCTGGCGCGCAGAGGAAGAAAGGTGGAGGTCCTGGCAGGATACCAGCTGCTCACTCTGTTTGCCGCTAAGAAAAGCACATGCTTCTCCTGCAGTCTGCTGAAGACTACTTCGTGTACTATCTCGTATTTTGGATACTCTTGTCTCTCTCAATTTGTTTGAATTTGTTAGATTTAGTAAATTACTGATCCTCCTCAGATCGTTGCTGTTGTTTTTTTTTGTTTGACCCATATGCTATCTTCCTACCCCTCCCCCTCTTCCCCTCTCTTGGAGGGCGCAGCCTTGGGGCCAACCATGCTCGAAAAAAAAAAGGGGGGGGGGGGGAAATTTCTTTTATTTGTAAAACATTATTTGTTTATTAATGTTTTTATTTTGATCAGTAATTT